TTCGGAGAGCATATTGAACAAGCTAGAATGATTACTATCAAACTCAATCCCATGTAAAGTAGCAACACTGAATATCCAACCTCAGAAATAGGAACATGTGCATTAAAAATAAAATACTCTTATGTCAATTATATCTCAAAGAATACCATTTTTGCTTATTATATTTACAAAGAATAAAAAGCAAACTCCCTTGTGAGCTACATTTCAATGAGATGGCCACTTTCATATATTGCTGATAGGAATATAAAACAGGTTATAATTTTTCTGGAAAGTAATTTAACAATCTTTATCAAAAATCTTAAAAATCATCTGTCCTATTTAGCCTAAAAATTCTAATTTGAGAAATTATTAGAAGGAAATAATCTGAAATGATATTTATGTGTAAATATATTCAGATTATAACATAAAAAATAGAAACAGTAATTCGGAAATAATTACATGAATTATGTTAACTTTATGACTTATATATCCATTAAAATGGATCCTTTTAATAATATGGAGAAATGCTTAGACTAAAATATTAAATTAAAAATCAGGATATCAGTAGTCTCAACACAAGGTATGTAGAGAAAAAGACCAAGAAAAACTAGATACAAATATGACAAATATGTTATTGGTGGGTGAAAAATTAATGGATTTTTTTTTTTTGCTTTAAACTTTTCTGTGCAATTTTTCTTTGATAAGCATGAATACTTTTCTAATAAGAAAAAAAGAAAAATGAAACGGAGTTATATTTCAAATACGCTAACTTCTCCATTTGTGAAATATTAGTCATTTTCATTTTATTTTCTAAATTCTCCATAAAATGGGTATATTATAAGATTTAAATATTAGTTAAGAAGACTATATACATAGTAATGTTTCCAACAATGGTAAGTAAAAACAATACATATAAAAGTAACAACTATATAAAATACAAATTTGCAAAGAAGACAGGGATGAAATGTAAGAGCAGAAATGAAATAGTATTAAGATGATGGATAAAAGAATTTTTTTCATCTTTCAAAATGTAATTTAATGGTAATTAAATTAATTCTGACAATTAAGAAAATATTTTCACTTCTCATAAAAGAAATATTAATCTTAAAGAAATCACACATACAAAAGTGGCTTTGGGGGACTTTATAAGGAAGTTACACAATAAGAACTATTCTTCTAGTAACAAAGCAGAAGAAATTAACATGCTTGCTGTCTCAGGTAATACCTGCTTCAGTGCTATTTAGTACAAATACACTAATTCCCTCAAGTACCAAGTAACATTATGCTTACTATACAATTAGATCTTTGAAGTCAAAAAACAAATATACTTTTAAAGCCTGTACATCAAATCACAGGTAGAATCAGAACATACCAGCCTATCACTTGATTGAAAAGTGAACGTTATTTAATAGTGTACAACAAAAGGGTTTCTGAAGGCAGTAAAAATGTCAGTGTAAAACTGATATGGAGTTCTCTATTTACCCTTAAAGAATAAATCAACATTTTTTTCTCAATTTAAAATATGACTTGTAAAATTTAAGAATTTATATAATAAAAAAAGAATTTATATAATAAAAAAAATCCTCATTAAGATTTAATTTGATTATTATAATGGTGGGTAATGAAAACAGATTGGAGGAAAGGTAAACATTAGTAGGTAAACAATGTTTTATTTAAAAATAATCTACCTTAAAAATTATTTAAACACA